TGAAAAGCAGTCTGGCACCGAGCAAAGCGACACCTAAAGTAGTAGTTCTCGCGACGTAATCAAAAGCTTCGCTACACGCCCCGTGTGAACTCGGTCCAAGAGAAAGTCGCGCAGACATGAATAAGCCCTCTTTAAGCGCGACAGCTGCTTGAACTTGTCCTCGCCGCCTCCGACACACATGCACATTAAATTATAATCACCGCTTGATGCAAACAAACTCCTCGGCGCACTCCCGTATAAAAAATACAAAAATTCATTAAAACTTCGCGCTCGGCTTGGCCCGAGACTTTAACACTTCAAACGGGTCGAATTCGAATTTCATTAGGAGTCTCCACGTGTCAACGCAAATAATGGCCGGTCCATATCCGTGTGTATGAGAAAAATATGCAGCTGCCACTTGAATTAACCGTGACGGAGGACGTGTCGCCGCTGATTATCCGCAGCCGAGGCAGTCGATTTTTCAATTTTGGAAGAGACTCGAGGCGCATGAGAGGGATCGAGACAGAAAGGTAAAAGGGGATGCGGCGCGGTAATTTCCAAATGGAAGTGCTGCCAAACCGGCAATAAATTATTTCCTCCGGAACGAAAGTTCCCGCTGCGGGGGTGTAAACATATTTTTTGCAAGATGGGAAAAATTGTATATGTACTTTTGTGGCCGGACGAGTTAATCAATCAATCGGGTGATTGATTTGTCATGTGCTTTTTTTGCCTTGATCTCAAACTTGTTAATAAAACAACTCGATTTTTGCGCCGTGATTGATAAACGCTGTTGAAAAGGTTGATGAATCGTCGCATATTGGCACATTTTCAACTTTTGGCGGTGGGCGGACGACAAATAGGCTTTTTTTGCACGCGCGGTTAAAAGATATGGAAGAAATTATAAGGTAATGCTTCGGCACAAAGAGCAGAGGGAGGCACTAAATTTTATTTATGATAGTCGTGAGGTAACTTGGTGCCGCTGACAATGATCAAGTGTAATGTGACATTTACATTTTACAAGGAGCACGTTGCGGCCGTTCTTGAGGAAAATTGTGTGGAAAATTTACGGCTGCTGATGAAAATGAATGAATTCCAATTCCTCGTCATTTTGAAGCGAACAGACATTTAAGAAAAAGTTTTACGGCGGGAAAGTTTGTTTGGCGCTGATTTTGGCAAGGTTCCGTTTCTCTTATGTATTATTAGGAAAAATCATTACTTGCAATGGACTTTTGAGGCAAATTCCTGATCTGGAGCAGAATAACCTGATCGTGGCAGTTTGAAAAATACGGCCAATTAAAGATGAAATATTTTGCAATTTTTTTGCATGATGGCAAATATGTGAGATGATAATTAATTCCATGCATTCTCACTGATTATATATTTATAATAATAAAAATAATTAGTTTGATTACGATTTATTAATTACTTTTTATCTTTCTTATTGTTACTGTTTATTCTTCACAAATCTGTAAAAATAATATTGAATTATAATTCAGCTAGAGTCAATGAAAAAAAAAGAATTTCACTGTAAATAGAATCCGAAATAATATATTTTATGAATATTATTATAATATTAATCAGATATAATTTTTTTTGTAATTTATGCGTGATTTAGAAAAATTTGGTCATTTTCCAAGTAAATCTCGGTCGTGTCAGAATAGCGCTGCGATTATTCGAGGCGGAGATGGATAAACACGTGTGTGCCTTTGCCTTGTTTACAATTCACCGTTTGTTGATTCGCACTCAGGACGTAGAGTGCAGCTCGTTAAGGGGGCGACGTTACGGGGTGCGAGCGCAGAGATACCGCACACGCGACTGAAATATGCATTTAATTCTGCGGACGGAAGGGTTTATTTTTTATCTATCGCTCCCGCCGGATTTATTTGCTCTCGCGTATTTATTTTGCACGTAAAGCGCGGCGCGTGAAATATTCAACCGGTCATCAATATTTCCCCAAACACGGCAGCTGGAGAACAAAGGGGTCTTTTTGTCTACTTGGCCAACTCGTTTTCTGCCTCCCCGCCGCCCCGTCCGGCTGCGATTGAGCAATATTTGTTTTTGCTGCCTGACGTCTCTGAGTAAATAATTCACGCACAGATTTCCCTGAAGAGCTGCTGTTAGCCTGATTTAGCCTTGCAGCGGCACAGAAAAATATAAAACACGAGAGCGCTGCACCGAATGACTGACTGACTGTATTTCTAAATTTCTTTCTTCTTTCTGTGAACGTGTTTGTGACGAGAGGGTAAATTTAAATTTAGCCGTCGCGCATCTGGCCGACTGGATAAATGAGTTGCGATCTCGGTCAGCATTGATGAATATATTGCATTGTCTTTTTTTTTTTAATAAGTTGGCAAAAAGCGCAGGTGCCGCCGCGTTTGTATACTAATTGCAGTCTGTAAATAACTTTTGATAAGCCGACTTTGGTTCAGAAGAGGCTGAAAATAAAAATGCGACGCCGATTGATACGAGCGCGTGTTTTTTGCTCCCTCGTGAAGAGCCGCATTAACAACATGTGCCGCCGGCGTTCGGTGAATATCAATATTGGCCTGCCGGCTGGCCCGCCCGTGACGCTGTCAGCTTTGGACGGCGGCGCGTAAATTTGAGATGAAATAATGTCTATCTCGGCCGACGTAGAGGTGACAAAACCCAGTCGAGTTGCTTTGCACAGCGTGATTTTTAGCAAATATTTACACCTTCAGCAAATTCGCTTTTTTTTCTTCTTCAGAGAGTTTACTTTTTGTAATTATTTTTAATGTGTCTCTCAATTTGAGGAAGTGAAAAAGTTGCACTGAAGAATAAATAATCACGTTTAATTGAAATGAAAGAAGAGACAAAATAATATATAAGCATTGAGAGTCCCGATTTAGATTTCCACTAATTTCTTGGTGTTGCTGCTGATTTATAAGGGAATTAGTTGAATCAAATTTTAATTTGTACGAGATACGAGAAAATGGAAGTTTTATTTTGTTCATAATATTGCTCTGCTTTTTATTATCATTTAAAAAGAATAAAACAAAATGGTACTTTTGCTACTTTTTAGCTTTTAGCACCAAACAAAAAGAGAAAAATGACGATTGCGAGAGACACGGGCGTGTTTCTCATGTCAACTTTCTTCAAGCGTGCATTAAACTCTGGGGGACTTTTCCTCTACAGAGCAGGGGTTCGCAGGAGAAAAATACAGCACCTCGTCGCTACATCTCATTCAACAGAATTGACGTCACGCCACGCACAGTTCATCAACTTTGCAGCTTCAATATTTCAAAAGGGTCTATTCTTGTTTCGCCAGACAAAGAGGAAAATTCTGTCTGCAAAAAGATCCGCCTCGCAAATTCCAGACTCCAGACAGAGGAACATGTTGTGCGTTTTTGGGTGAATTTAAATATATTATTGCAATTTATCGCACCACAAGTGACGCTGCCACTCATGCAGTGTAAAAATTCCTTTCATGTTTTCTTCAATATTAAATCATTATAAAAAAGCATTTTAATTTTTCATTATTTATCCTAATATTGTTGAATAAAATATGCAATTTTGCCTCTATAATTCGTGGTGCAGATGGAAGACTCAATAACAGACTAACTTTTTTCGCATCTAACGCCGCACTCAAGCGACGAGTCTATAAATTATGCACATTGTTAATTAGTTACAGGGACTGGCTTTGAGGTGGCGAAACCCATGCGTGGCGCGCGTTCGTAAAGCGCGATTTTGCGGTTACCGCAGTGGAAACGGAGCCGGAAAGGTGCGCAAACTGTAATAAATAAATTATTTTCAAACAGCTTTGAATTGAAAAACCATTCTACAAAATGTTACCTGAACCAAACATTACAAATTTCATCAAAGTTTGAATTTGAAATTTAAGGTTTCATTTACCTGGAGAAAATGATAAAGTTACACCTAAAAAATAACTTGGTCCCTATTAAGGGACCATACGTCAAGCTTTTCAAGGTGCCATTATACAAAAATTTACGGATTTTGAAAGAATGATAAGCCATTCATTTTTTTTCTTCTTTGAGAATACAAATATTTTTCAGGGGTGAGGAGACTTTGGATAATTTCTTTTTTCAATTTTTATTTGCTAGTTTGAAAATTAAGTATACGGTAGGGGTTTTTTTTTGTCACTTTTTACTTTCATTTCTATTTCTCGTCGTGAGGATTGAGCGAACTCTAAATCCACTTTCACCCTATCTTGCATATCACTCGCGAAATTGATTACTCATTCTTCTCGGCGGCCCAAAAAAGTGTTTGCCAGAGAATTTCGTTGGAATGATTTATTAAGGGTCTGGCGCGTGCTGCGATCGCTGCTGATTTAGCAGCAGCACCGACTGACGGCAGGCGCCGCCAGTTTGTTTCGCCGCTGAAGAGATGGCACTATTTTGTTCTCATGACGCTTTTCCGGCCGCAGCATCGCTTTTCCGACCTCAAGCAGAGCCATCCAGCGTCGCTAGCGTAATGACGAGGGTGGAAAGATGAGAAGTTTCACCAATTATTTTTGATCCGACGTTTCTTTCAAATAAAATGCGGCTTACATTTCAAGTCAATTAAATAAATTGCAGTAAATGAATCATTTCACATTCTACAGCAATTTTTATTTGGAGGCTTTTATGAATATAAAAAGCTGTCTTTTTTAGTTAAAATTTTACACTTACCGCACAAGAATTCATGTATTTTACGTTTTAAAAAGTTATTAAATGTAGCTGCTGATCAGAGCCGTTGCTGTTTCTTATACAAAATGTGAGGACTGAGGAGTCACCATAAAAGATTTTGTTATTGACTTTTGTCTGTAATTAGATTTTCTCAACTCTCCATCATTATTTTCGATCATTTTTATTTGTGTTTGATTTGTCAATAAAATTTCTATCATTTTGCTGCAAAAAAAAAATTAAAATTAATTATGACTATTTATTTTTTTCCATGTTTTTAAACAAATTAAACACTCTATAAATCTTGTGCCATGGCTTCAATTTCAAATACAGGTTTTCTATTAATATATTTAAGTTGGCATTAAACATTGTTTCATAATAAATTAAAAATACAATCAAAATTTAATATCAAATTAATTGCCAAATTATATTGTTCTGTTAATATGTGTGCTATTTTCCTGTTCAGAAAAATCCAAAACCGTTTTACCAAATATATATTTAGAAATGCATTTAATTCAGCAGTATTATATGGGTTGAAGGGAAAAACAAGCTCTGCCATTTTTATTCAATAGAAGCTGCACAAAGCGTTGAAAATTCAATCCTGACGATGACGTACGTTTGTGCGTTTGCGGCGACCAAACCTGAGAGGCTGAAACCTGCCCCTCTGACGTCCACCCAAGCCTTCCCTTCCGAATCGGTTTCTGGCTCTCGGCTCGGCGGTGATGAAGTCGAGTTTCTCAGGACCGGCCACACTGGCGGCCACTGCAGAGGCCGCCGCCTCCACATATGAGCCAAACGGCCTCCAACGCGCCAGGGCTGTCAGCGCCTGAAAAATCATTTTCCAAAATAAAGTGCGAGTAAAACAGAACATTTTTATTGGGTCCATTGTTCAGGGGTGAGTTGCCTACCTTCTTGGCAACGCGTGGAAGGGGCAAAGGCAAAATTATCATGGGGTTGACTGGCAAAAATTCATTTTCGGATTCGTCCAAATTGGAATCGACATCAATAGAGGCAAAACCGACAACGTCCTCCATCTCGTAGTCCTGCAACTGCATTCGAAAGTGTCAAAATTTCTCCCAAGAGAAAAATAAAATCAATATTCCAACCCAACTTTAACGATAAAAAAACACACGCGCTTAAAATAATGCAATTAATACAAATGGTTTTGCTGTGTTTGTTGGAAATTTATAATGTGCGCTAAGAAACTATAAAAAATATTCATCTGCAGCTTATATAAGGAAATATTATGAAACAAAGGTGGCAGGCGCGTGCATTATTCTTTTGTCATAATATGGCACCAATAATAATAATAAAAAAAGGAAAACAAGGGTGTGTTTGTGCGGGGGCGCCTCTGAAACCTTTTTAAGTGCGTCAAAACAACTTGTTGCCTGCGGGTAATATATTCAAACGGCACTTGAATTCACTATTTTCCTGCTCTTTTCCGCCCAAACTTTTTTCCTATAACACGCCCGCACCCTGCGCGCAGCCAGGGCGAATTACGCCGCCTCCTGCCATTCGCTTTTATGGCTTTCCTATGTATAATGCCAACAATACGGCTGATAAGAAAGAGTGGAGGTGTTCCCAAGAAAAGTGCTATACTAAACAAGCCGTTGCAACTTGCGTTTGGCTCGAGCAACAAATTGAGAGCTCAGATCAGCTTTGCGCTCCAGGCCTGACTTTATTATAAACGCCACTTTTATTGGCACGCAAAAGTGCAAAATATAATTATATCGCTACTGAAAATTATAAATTTTTTATTATATTAGCAATTTAATAAAACCACTTCTAGTTTTTGTCAGATTTTCTTAAATAAAATCCAGTTTCTAGTTTCTATTTACATTCAGTTAAATCAATTTGATTCAAATTCTTCTTTTTATCTGTGAAAAACTAAAATATTATATATTTATTAATTTAATTGTTTTTCATGTCAATCGTTCAGTTCGATCAATTTTAGCAATATTATAATGTCGATCCACTCTACTCATTTTCCGCATTTCTTTTTGGAAAAATTTCAAATCTAATAGAGTACAAATTTTAAGTGTAAGAAAAAATACCTCATCTTGGTTCTCTTCGAACGCGCACTTGACAGCTGGAGCAGCGGAAACGAGGACACACAGCAACAACAAACAAAACGCTGACATTCTCTCCGCAGCCTGCAATCATTCACAGCAAAACACATAGTGCACAAAATAATAATTCTTGCAACACGAAAATCTCCTGCAAGAATTGTATTTTGCATGAATTTCAAGGCGCGCCTCAACTCGCCCTCGCCACCGCACAACGCTGGCAAACGCAAATAAGTCATCAGACGTGACAAGATTAGCAGAGTAGATTAAATAAGCGGAAAAATTCTCGCGTTTAATGAAAATGACTTTGCTCGCCACGCGTGCTAAAAAAGCGTTTCCGTTGGCGACTCAAGTTTGTCACAATCAGATGCATGAAGAAAGCAGGGCAATGATTTTCTGAATTTTCTGTTTATCTGATTAATTGAATTATGCATGAATGCGACTCAAGATCGTTTTAATGTCAGCGGTTATTTAATTAAGTTAAGTAGCACTGGCCGGCCAATTTAAACCCGCAGGTAGAAATTGATAAGTTAATAGTTTTTAGGATAAATAACACTGCTTCAAGAGGACGTTTTGTGCCAAATTAAGAAATCTCGTTGTTATATTACAATTAAAGGAAACCACACAAAAGTCATTACTTTGGTTTGGACTTGGGACTTAACTAAATTTACAACTTGCACATTTTCATAGCCAATTCTCTATTCAGCCAATAGAACCTCCATAATGACTGACAATGTTTTTTTTTTTTTAAATATATTAATAATTGATTAAATGTGTGGAGATTTATATTTTTTAAGAACTCGGATTGCTTCTAAAAGTGCAAACCGGGAGTTTCCTTCCAGCCGCAGTAAGAATGAATTTTAAATATTCGTATGGCAGTATTTTACAATTATTTATAAAATAAATATAAAAAACCTTACTTTTGAATTCCTCAGCTACTGTCATTTATCCCCCAAAAATAAATCAAGTTACATCTTCTCGGGAATTACCTCGAACAGAAGAACTGCAGGTGTTGCGAGCCGCAGAGGAAGAAGCAAGGTGCTGAAAGTCTCCTTCCCTTGGGCATTCAAAACGCCGACGCCGCAACCAAAAGAAGCCAGGGCGCCTGTCATTTCTCTTGACTCGAGCCTACCGCTAATCAAATCTGCGTACAGACCGGATTTTTTTATGATCTCTCAACTTTGATAAATCTGTTTCTGTCTTGCGTTTAAGATATTATCAGCGCTATATTTATTGAAATAATATAGTAACAGACCCACGTATCAATTATTTTGATTTAGCGCCAGTAAATGGAGTGTAAATATTTATGAAAAAGATTATATATTATTTGACTGCTTTGAAAATAGGTGTAATGCACATATTAAGATATTGATCCCATTGTCAATAGAGCCAATCGATGAATAAATATGTATGATTTTGATTTCATTAAATTTTTAATAAAAAAAAAATGAATCTTCCTTACGAATTAATTGATATATTTTGAAATATAGCAAAATAATTTTTTTGGCTACTTAATTAATTGAGAAAAACTTGCAAGAAAAATATAATTTTTTTTCTTTGGCTGCTACACAAAAAATGCGCAGGCAGACGGGAGATGTTTTGTTCATGGAATCAAATTTGCGCATATATGCGCTATATAATAAAATCCAGGTGTGCTTTTGCAAAACGCACTCTCTTTTACTTTAGGCCCAATAAAACAAGCAAGAAAGAAAAAAGTTTTATGTGTACAATACAGTTCTATGTTTTTTTTTATCAATATTAATTTCTCTAAAAGCAAATCAAAGAAAAAAATATGCAGCAAAATGTCCTTCCCTGGACTTCTTTTGTTAATATGTATTATTTATACCTCCTTTTAGTTTTATAACGTTTTTTTATTTGAAAGAAACCATTTATTAATTCCGATTTCTGCAATCTCTTGTTGAGAGAATCATCTGTGGCCCGCTGCCGTACTCCCCTGTTAAGTTGGTTGCTGTCGCTGGTATTTTACTTCAAAATATATTTATTTCTTTTTTTCTCCTTTCACTAAATATGGCACGTACCGAATGTGGCTTACATGATCTCTTTAGAAATGAGAAAACAGAAAAATATCAAAATAGTTTCCGAAAAAACTCATTTTTTTAATTTTTAATGAAAATATCTTTAAAACTAAAAATAATGCCATCGATTACAGATCAGATGCAGAATTTTATGATCTAGACTACATTTACAAAAAAAAATATATCACAAATTAACTTTTTTACATGTCCTCAAAAACTATGTATAAAAATGCAACAGTAAAGTTTTTCAGTTCAAAAAGGTACTATGAGGAATACAAAATTTATTGCTCTACATAATAAGCAAGGGACATTAACATTGTAGAGTTTAAAAAAAGGAATATCTCAAAAATTACTCAAAATTTGGTCAAAAACCCTTCACAGGACACTAATAACATAATTATATGAAAATCAGAGTAGTCGCCGCAGCAAAAAAGATCTGTCATTGTCAAATTTATCTTAATTCATTTGTGAATGGACGTGCTACGTCCCATAAGTAAAATATCAGCGAACAGCGGTGTACGGCGCCGTTGCATACCTTGTAAGGAGGTAGAGTCACTTGTACCATATTTGCAGCCATCTCTCGGCGATTCCCCAAAGCCAGCAGCCAAAAAGGCCATCATGCAGTGAACCAGCCAATAGAAGATTTAAAAAAAAAACCTCCCATTGGCGGCTTTCGAATTGCGCGGTATTATTTCGACTAATAGCGTGGCTTTAATCGTTTGTTTTTCTTTTTTTGCAATTAGAGCTGGACCTCGCAGCTGGCACCTGCTGCTGGCAGATCTTGATGGCTGCAAATTTGCAAAACACAAAAACACCTGTGCACCTGAGATTTGTTTGAGTTTGAAGAAGTAAAGTCTCTGCCATGGATTTGTTCGAAAGAACTTTTAACAAAATCCTGTCAAAGGAGATTTCACCTGATGACGCCGTTCATTGGCTCTCTTCTTCAAATGTTCCTGTAGGTTTTGCATGAGTTATAAATCCTGCCAATAATTTTGTAAAAATACATACATACATTTTCAGAATGAGGACTTCCAGGGCAAGAACAGAGTTGATTTCGCAAATTTTTTCTTGGCATATTTGCGCGAAAAAACCAGGTATGTCATTGTATATTTGTGTCACTCTCCATCCTTATGTTATCTGTTCTTTTAGTTTTCTGGAATCGAGATCATCAATTACGCCGTCAAACACGCCGATAAAAAGCCTTGGCAAGCCATTAGCACCGCATCCTGACGCGGACCTTGTTGCAAAGAAGCCCCAGGAACGCCGTTCTTGCAGTAGAAAACTTCCACTAAATGGCGAGAACAAAATTGAGCTCTCTACCGAGTGTATAGAAAATGTTTCCCGGAGAAATGCAAACCACAGCCACCCACGACCAGGCCCGCATGCAATCACCCTAGGAAATTTTGTCGTCACCAAGACGACGTCCCAACGAGAAAGAAAAAATGCCAGAGCTAGTATTAAATTGAATTCATTCGATGAGTTTCCCGAGATTGGAGTCACAAAAAGGGTCAAGCCTATAATGATTTCATCACAAAATGAGATCAAGGTTTGTTATTTTTAATAATGTTTTGTCTCATTTTTTAAAACAAAAACTTAAATTTTTTCAGGTTCAGGATAAAGTGCCAAATGCATTCACAGGGGCTCCCGAAGTGAGTGCGTCGGACGTAGTTTTAGAAAGGGCCAGGTTAAAACTGGAATGCATCAAGGTCCAGAACAACAATCTCAAAGCAACTTACGAACTGCCAGTGAGAGACGCCAAGGAACAATTGGAAACACTTTCCAAAATTTATGCGGCAATTTTAAACAGTGATTTGGAACTGAACATCATGAACGAAGTTTACTTTCTGACAGAACTCCTTTGCGTCAATATCAGAGCAGAAGATGAGCAGCACGAGATCTTTGGCAACTCGAGCAACTGTGCTTACTTCTCTGCAAAAACGTTTGGTTCTCTAGGTGACACATTGAAACATTTGGATCCGGGAGTTGTTAAGCTGCTTGTGGAAAATAGCAAGATGAACAAAGTTTGCCCAGACGTGGTTGCAGAACTGAAGGAAGTGTTGGTTTCCTTGCAATGTCGACCAACTATTTCTTTGATATTAGTAATTGGGTCACAAGTAGAAAGTGAAAGCAAGGAGAACTTTGCAACACCAGACTCTTTCCAGGTTAATTTTTCATAAACATCTGGTTTTCTTCAAATTGAATTGTGTGTTTCAGGTTTATCGGAGACAAAGGGATGGCTTTTATGCGCTGATGGAAGACTGGGACAACGAACGCCATTTCTCAAAAAAACTTGCAAAGGAAGTCTTGGACATTTTTGAGCTGAACACTGTTGAACCAGAGAACCTTGCCTACTTTTGCCGCCTCTTCGTTTCACAGTTGATTTGCTCCTGTATCGGAGACGGCTCTGACGGAAGCAACAAAGCACCTTTTGACTTCCGAGTTGATCCAGAAAGACTCAAAAGACTGCATCAGAGATTGGTCACTCCGTCAAAGGCACTTGCTGGTCCGTGTCCGCTGCCTGATTTCTCAGGCTGGGAGGAATTCTTCAGAGACTTTATTGTGATAGCTTCCAACGCCAATTTCAACCAACACTTGCAAGACTCGTTATTATCTACACTGAGAGCTCTAGATGGCAAGAAATTTGAGCTCCAATCAAATGGTGAATTTCTAAAACTCTAAATTACTTGGTGCTAATTTTGGAAATCTCACAGTTGAAGAGGAAACTAGGCACAAAATCCTTGCTTGTGTTGTGTCAGCTCAGTTGGTAGCAAAATTTTTAGGCTTCGTTGAGTTCCGCCCCTACAAGTCTCCTTTGAAAAGGGCGCCAGAGCAAGTTCTTAGTGCACAGGTTCTAATTAGAGAAAAGGTAACTCCTATTTTAACTATATTATAAGACGATATTGAATTATTAATAATAATTTAAGGTTCGACTTCCTATTGACACCTATCAATTGATAGCTACGTCTGAAAAGAATGGAAGGTTGATTCTGACGGTTCCCTGGCTGTGTTCATACTTAGTGCAACTGGATGCTGTGTCCATAAGACTGCCTGACATTCAGGCAACCATATCTTTTTTAATTTCCCTGCAGAGAGGTCTGTCGTCCAGATCTCTTTCAGGCACCACAAAGATCTTACTTCGTCTGAACATTGGATGGTGTTTATCCATTTTGGCTGAATTGTGTCCTAGCGTGTGGGACATGTTTCGCTCAGCAGCTAAGTAATGCAAATTTACAGTGAATTTAAATTTCAAGTTTAATTGTAAATTTTTATCAGGATTGATGTTCAAGAAAATTCAAATAGTCTGGATACAATCGACATGATGGACTCACGGAGCATCACTTTGATTTTTCCATTCGTGTTGGAGCTTCGCTCAATTTTAGCTGGCAATCCAGGAAATGTGAGAAGTGGCCAAGCTGTGGGTCCAAAGCACATCAAACCAGTAGCAGCCATTACAGTTGACCCAGTGCTGCACCTAGAGGTTAATAATCTTGTAAAATTATTATGTTCTCACTGGTAATGCATATTTATAGCTACAACTTGAAGCAAGCTTTGTTCAAACGCAGCCAAGCAGTGTTCGTCAGACCTTAGAATTTGTTACAGAGCGTTTGTACGCCTTGTGCATAGACCATTTGCAAGACGACACCGTCAAATCTGCACTGCATGATTTGGAAAGCAAAGTGCAAGAAAAAGTTAGAACGGAAGCTGACAGCCTTGATCCTCAATTAGATTTTTCTCAGCTAAAATCAGCTTTAATGGTAATTATAATTTCAATTATTGGATCCTTGGGTGTTATTTTTGTCCTGAAACTGTAGAATGGCCTTGCAAGCTGGTCAGTGATAGAAGCAGACAAGCAGAGCGAAACTATGTCACAGAAGTGCCTTAATGAAGCCAATAAATTCCTTGGAAGTAGATGCTCGTCTCTCCTGAGTCATCTTTTGCCACAATCTGTAACTCAAATCCAGTGCAGTGCATTCGCTCAGATAGTTATCAAAAATATTTGCTCAAAAATTAAAGTGTGGATTCAAACAACCTATGGATCAAGTAATTTATCAAAGCTATCTGTGAAACTATAGAATTAAATTTTCTTTTCAGCCGAAATGTTGAAGAAAACCAAGGAGAGCTTGGAGAAGGCAGCCAAGCATAGGGCCAAGAGCGGAGAGATATCGACTGTGAAAACTGATCCCAATGTCTCTCTTCGACTACCAGCAGAAAGAAGAGGACTCGAGCATTTAGAGACTGTCACACCCCCAGCAGAACTGATGCTGCAATACAGAGTAAATTCAAAAGGCAATTGAGCGATAAAAAAATTAATTTTAATAAATTATTAGGAAATTCTTTTTAAATTAAGCAACGGCCAAGAAATTTCCCGTGATGGAATTGAAAATCTGATAACAGCAACAGAATTGGTCGTGCTCCACAGAGAAGATCTCATACCAGTTGCTGTATTCATGATCAAGCCCTTGACTGTTGATTTGGCTATGTTTTTGGGTAAAACATTTTTGTTGCAGTTCTTGAAAGAAAAAAAAAATAATATTCCTTATTGCAGCTGTATATTCTCCACAAATTCTAACGAACAGCGTTGTATCAAAGCTTGTCGGCTTGTGGAAAGGTCCCTTCGGCAGACCCGACCAACTGGAGAAAATATTCAGTCCAAAACACATGCACATGTTAAGTTTGAGTAAAAACCAGAATAACACTTGGTCTGCGTTTGGGAGATTTCTGCACGGTCTCGTCAAGGCAGGACTTCTCTCCCCAATGGACATTGAAGAGCAAGCTGTTGGAGTTCTGCAACTGCAGTGGCCCCCTGAATTTCTGGAAATGTACAGCCTTTGCATAAATAACCTGGTCAGGGAAAATGGAGCGAAGCCAGAGAGTGATGAGAATTCTTCATTTTCAGAGCTTTTGCCTTGGCTAGCTGATTACTGTTCCAATCTTGATGAGCTGCCAGTAGATTAATTTCATATTTTATTTTAAATGCTATTTGAAGCTTTTTAATACATAACAATTTCTATTTTAGCAATATTGAACAAACCAGTTTTATTTTGTATTTATGTATTTTAAGTACATTTGATACTGAAAATAAGTAAAAGCATGCAAATAAAAAAGAAACACCAGAATATTTGAATGTAGAATTTATTTGTTCACAAAGCAATCCTTCACCATGCACTTCAGAGTTACATATTTGCAAAATTTAAATCTGTACATAAATTCATTTGCCGTCAGAATAAATATTCTTGAATTTTTCCACCACTCGCGAGGAAGCATGGGCTCGATTTTGTCCGAATTGAGCAGGAATGATTCATGGAAGATTTGCCAGAACAAGCCGCGAATATATAGCATAAAAATATTGATTTTTAGCAAGACAACAAAATAAAATAAAAAAACATTCCAAAGAATTCAGAGAACATATTTTTAAACCAGAAAAGAGCAGATGTCTGCAGCGTGCACTGGCCGAGTACTGTGTAATATCCAACCAGACTAGACAGCCAATGTGATTAAATCTTGCGCAAGGACAACTAGGCATTCGATGTATTTTCTAATAATTTAAGATACTCAGTTTGGAATGTTATCGGAAAACCTGCCAATTACATTTATTGAAGTCTGCACATTTTTTCTGGTTTATGTCAGCAAAGATGACAATCGTCCACTTTTTTTTTCAAGTAAACAAAGCACCAACATTTGATCCGGTTATCAGACTGAGCCTCTCTAAGGTAACTCATTTTTTTTTCTCATCTCGAGGGGGTTAATCTGATAACTTGACATCAGGGGTCATGTCAATGCTCGCAAATTATTCATTTAAAAAGCAGTCCTGAGCTGCCAACTAATGGCAGATTGGCTTGAATGTAGTAAAATGTCGAAACGTCACATGATGGTCAGCCAGGTTTGGTTACCACTTCTTCTTGTGCTCATCCATTGAAACTCCACCAGGGCCTTGGGTCACCACCATCAATAGACCACCGATTACGGAGAGGGTCTGAGGAGAAAAAAAATTTAATTAAAAGTTACAAAAACTTTCATGGTGAAAAATAATTTTGGTTGAGCCTGAAAGGAACTTAAAAAGCAGAGTTTTCAGATAATTGACTAAAACTGGTGTTTTAAAGTCAGAAAATATACAAAAATATTTTTATTGGGCTCAAAACAGCCTGCTCTTTAAATAATTAAATCACTTTAAGCAAAACACTTTGTTATTTCATCAAAACATTTTACCAAAAGAAAATTATCAATACCTGGAAGAAATCATATTTGAGGAAATCTCTCATAGGCTTGTATGACGGAATCGTCCACCAGGCGTTCATCCAGAAGTTGAGAATGAGAAGCCAGACAACAAGAATTGACGCGCTGAGCTTCGTCTTGTAGCCTATTGTTACAAGTACCATCAGAACTGAGCCCACAATGTTTTGGAGGATCTGCGGGGGAATTGAATTAATTAAGAAGCACAAATAAAATGGCTATAAACAAACCTGCATGAATGAAATTTCCAGTCTCAGGAGAGTCGCAAACATGAACACAACCAAAATACGGCCAGCCAATTGCAAGTAGTTTTTGGGCTTGTTTTCACCTAAAAGATTAAAATTTTATGATCAGAAATGAAATTAAGCATAAGTATTGTTATATAATTCTCCAAAATAATGAAAAAATCTATGGAAAAAATTATTTGAATTTCTGGGCTATTCTTGCACATAAACTCACCAACGCTCGGAAGACCAGCAAAAAGTCCCCGGCCTTCATCCTCTCTGCTTTCTGCCAAAACCAGAAGGAGGGCACCAACAAGGGCTAGATTTCTGAACAAGAACTGGAGGTCCCACAGGATACTGTATGCAACAGTCTGGAAAAGATATCGATATGTATAAATATATTCCAGTTATATTTATTTAAATATTTAATAAAATGAAATTTTGAACTACCTGTAAGCAAACAATGAAAAAAAGGATGCCGCAGGCGATGGGGACTTTTTTCCTTAGCAGGACCATTGCGCAACCACCAAGTTGGCCCACAAAATTTATTAAGACGAACATAGTGGCCAAAAACCAGCCGCAGCCCCATGATATATCCATGTACTCTCTCTGCTCAGACCACTGGAACCACATTCGAAGTCCATCTTCTAAAAACGTCGAGATCAGACACACTCTGGTGATATGTGGCAAAATTCTTTTCCCCTTGCGCAGGACCTGAGAGAGAGATGAGAAAGCCACAGGTTACAAAAATTCGGTGAAAGTATAAAATCTTAAACTTTCAAAAATAGCTGTCACAGCGACTGGAAAAACAAGCGCAAGTGACACAAATTCCAAGCTTTTCGCCAATCGTGCTGATGAATGGCTTCAAATTTTGCTTTGAATGTGTGGCAGTTCCACAGCACCAGCAACAACACCAAATTCATATACACAACAATTCAGTCTACCACATGGCCATCCGCCACAGCCCGCTCCGCTAGCTTGCAGTTCAGGGTCCTGCCGTCGACATGACGATAGAAGACCGAGCTGTGATGGATCAAGCCCGTGTGTGGCCACACACTTTTCCCACAATGATGCCCAGACAAAAGAACCGAACATAATCATCAATCATCACGACCAATCCAACCAACCTGCTTCGAGCGACACGCCCCTTGCCAGCATAATGAGTTCTGCATAACTCGCCTGACAGGTGGCGCCACCTCAACGCAGAAGAAAGAAGCATTACGACCTACAGTCTCAAAGGGGGAACCCCTGTGGCAGTTCCACAGCACCAGCAACAACACCAAATTCATATACACAACAATTCAGTCTACCACATGGCCATCCGCCACAGCCCGCTCCGCTAGCTTGCAGTTCAGGGTCCTGCCGTCGACATGACGATAGAAGACCGAGCTGTGATGGATCAAGCCCGTGTGTGGCCACACACTTTTCCCACAAATGCTGATTTTGGTTTGTTTTGCAAATGTATGTCACGTTGGCCACGGCAACAGCTGCACGAAAGTTGATTTTCGGCGACGCTTTTCGGTCACTTTTAAACTGAACTTGGGCGTGAAATTGCCGGGCCAAGGTGGCAAAAGTTGCGGCGAACTTGGATTAATTTTTCTGGCTTACCTCGTCGACGACATCCTCAGCCTTCCCTAAGTTAAGGGCCATTTCTGACGGAAAGAACTGCCCTTCGGGCCTATGATGTGGAGCAAATAACAAATGAAAGGTTATAATGTGACGTCACGCCGGCTGCGGCGCCTCTGATTGGCCAAATCCACTCTTATCAATAGCGGTAGTTTTCAAACATTCGTGTCATCAAGAATGGACTGATAATGAGCAGGAAAAGCGCTGAATAAATGCATTTTCTTGACCTTTGCGTCATCAAGGTCTTTGTCAGTTCACTTTTAAGTTCGATGCAATTTTGCATACTTTGTAGAAAGAACGGAAAACATTGTCAAGTGACGTGTTTTGTTTGCGATCTGCACGTCAGGCTTTTGCCTCTCGCGGAGAGATGGAGAGACCTGCTTCAAAACAAGCTCAAACAGCAGGCGCGGATCGAAAAAAAAAACAATATTTAATTCGATTGAACGGTAGTGTAACAACCAACCCAGCTGGTTTTACAACATTTTTTACCACTTGGAAGGGATGAATCAGTGGTGATCGGCGGCAGACGCGAAAATTTTCAGTCGGGTTTGTTTGCTTTATTGAGCGAGAAGTGCATCGCGAATTGCATGTTCCAGGGACCAAGATGGACTTGGAATTCTTGGAAATTCACCCCAACAACAGGCCGACGGCCAATTTACACGACATCCTCACCGACCCCACCATCCCCGAGTGGAAGAAGGACCTAATTGTGCGCAAGAGGAACACGAACCGAATCCTGTTTGGTAATTTGAAATTGCAGGCGTGTGCCCCGCTCGGCTCGATTTCTAATCACAATACCCCCACTGCCGATGCGATAAGGAATGACGATGTCGAGGCGGCTACCGCGGCGGATGCGAATTGGACGGAAGCACCAGACTGCTGCGAGTCGACGAGCAGCGACACCGAAAAAAGCAAAAGCAGTTCTCCCGTGCCAGGGTTCGACTCGACTGCGGGCCGAGTCAAAAAAGAAGAAGCCAAGGATTGTGTTAAGGAGAAGGAGGAGGCGGACTTTCACCTGCAGGAAGAAGAAGACCCTGCTTCTTCTTCTCCTCAGGTTAACGGCGAATCCGACGGAGTGGGGACCGTTCGCGACCAAGATGCCGTTGACTCCCTCTTCTCTGGCAGTGCACCAGTGTCGGCCGAGTGTCGGAGCTGGTGCGAGGGTGCGATGCGTCTGAACAATGACCTGGACCGCTTCCCGGGAGCCGAAAAGAAACCCATCCCCGTGAAGAAACTGGCCGGCACCAACCACAAGCAGGTCAGGGTGCACACGTCGAGCAACAAAATTATTATGGGCGAGGAGAAGCCGAAAATGAAGAGTTCGGTGAGGAAGCTGAGTGCCCCGCCGCACGGCACCAAACCGGCAATGCACACGGTCAACCTGGGCGACCCTGAGGAGATCAAGTACGGCCCGGGCATCGTCCACAAACTACGAGACCGCTACATCAACATCACCCTGCGCGAGTCTGCCTCTGCGTACAAACAGCGGCAACCCCTGAGCAACCTGCGGAGGGCGTCCAGCTTGGACAACATCCTGGACGAGGCCCCTGTCGTCCGCAGACCGCCCCCTGAGAAGAAACAACCGGCCAAGGAGATCAGCCTGAGCGTGGCTGAAAATATCAAGCGCCATCGGTCGATGGAAACGTTGCTGTTTGAAAAGCAGACGCCGCTGATCAACGACGACATCGTCATCATAGAGCACAGCTTGCCGGTCGAAACAACACCGAGCAGAAAGAGGAACTCGTCCGGGGGTGAGGACGAACTACCCCCGCCGGACGTCGTCAAGCAGACGAGACAGAAATTTGAACGCAGGACCAATTCCCTTCCGCAACCGAACAAAAATTTGCCACCCTCCAGAGTGGTCAACGCGAAAAAACCGGCCCTTTCGCCCAAGCCGGCCAACCTGGAGATCAGGAAGACCGTCGTCGACCTTCCGAGCGTCCCGCTTTTGGAAATCAGAGTTTCAGAGGAGAAAAAACTGCCGCCCCCGGTCATTGTGAGCGAAGAGCCCAAACCGGTGCCGAGGGTGGAGTTGAAAGACTTGCCACCCTTGACACCGAAAAAAGAGCCGTCGCCGCCCTTGTCTCCGGTGAAAGAGCCGTCGCCACCACCGCGAGTGATGAAGGAAAAAGTGAAAGAAAAAATAATCACGGATGACGACGACGAAACGACCAAAATGATTTCGAAAAAGGCGCTGGAGAACATTAGAAAAAACGGCTTCTCTTTTGTCATTAGTCCGAAGGGGTCGCCCAACCTTTCGCACCTGCCAGGCGCCACCACAGAAAAGAGCACTTTGCCGCCGCAGGTCATCTCGGTGCACCAGAAGGTGCCGGACAAGCAGGTGGGCGTCATACGACCCATTCCGAAGGTGGACACTCGGGTCAACGAGAAGAATTTGATCAACGCCGTCAAGTCCGAGCAGCCGCACATCAAAGCGGTCCCCGTGGTGCGTCCCGCCAAGGTCGAAACTGTCCCTGTGGTCGTGAGCAAGGATCCCGGCGCCACCACCGAGTTGTGGGGCAGCAAGAAAAGGCACTTCAACGAACAGCCCAGCACCCAGTGCTTCGACTTCACCACACGAAAGTCCGTGCCCGACTACATCGAAAATGACGGACTTGGACAACGACCTGCGGTGAGTCTCTTATTTTTGTCTTTTTGATTAATTATTTATTAGTATTCATAAGGTTCACAAGATAAGAAAATCGGGTTGAAGTTATTTAATATGAAATTTGCATCCTCATTTAGCTATTCACAAATCAAGAAAATCAGATTGAAGTTATTTAATTTGGAATTTCATCTCCTCATTTTATTTTTTAGTTTTTGAACAAATAAATTAAAATGACATTTTCAATTTAAATAACATAATTTTTAAATTTCAATATAATTACTTCCCTTTGTTATATTTATATTTATTTAAAGTAATACTTTTGTGTGGTTATTTAAGTAACTTTTTTTTAAATTCACACCAAAATATTTTTGAAATTTATTAAACTTTACGTTTATAATTTTTAATTAATTCTATTCACATTTATTGCCATCTGTCCTTGACTAATTCCACCGTCGTCGGCAATTAAAAAAGCACAAGGAAATGAAATCGACTAGTCAGCAATATTTAAAAATTTGAAACAGACTTGCGTAAAATCCTGTGTTGAGTTGCGAATGAGTCAAACGCAAATATCAACAAAGGAAAAATTGCTCGTGCTTTGTAAATTACGATGTAGTGCAGCAATGTGCAGCAATGCTGTCTATTAATTCCTGTGCCCGCTCAGCGCCGAGAGTACCAGCAGCATGCTAATCAACGTCGATAACTGTAAACGCGAATGATCGCACATAAACCATAATTTTCGCCTTACTTGTAAGGCAGAGCGGCTTTTCATATAAACACAAACACGAGAAGAAATTGTCTCCAACGTCTTAAAATGGACAAAACGACGGAGCGTTTCTTCCGAGAAATTTTTAATTGGTGCCGCGGCAACAGGAGAAATTAATTCTTTCTCCAGCTGATCGCGGTTAATTACACTCAATGGTCTGTAACAAATTATTGCCTCTAAACTAATGAAATAGGTGAAAACATAAATTATTAAAAAAAAAATTGGCGCTTTTTAATAATGGCTGAAAATATTATTATCCATTGTCCGCTTCAGTATATCAATTAATTTGCCACTTTCTTTATTTCTTTCGGCTCATTGTTCACTTTTACAGAGAGAAAATAGCGATTGAAGACAAATCAACCAAACAATCCACTTTCCGAAGAGCTGCTGAAATGTGGAACAGCCTAGTTCATTAATGAAAAAGTTATTTCAACAAGCTCTCTGAAAAGATAAAGGAGGAGTATTTTTTTTTTCTTCAACTCCCTCCGGGCAGATATGCTGTTCAGGTGTACAGCTTTGATTTATTTACGGGACAGCACCTGCGGAATTATTCGCCCAATTTTGTGATCACCTAACTGTTCCCGCGGCGCCCTAATGGCCCATTCCTTTGATACAGACCTAATGTGAGAAACGGCGCGTCGGGAATCTCACTGTCTTGCAATCCATCCCAAATTTGCACGGTGGCTGCTCGGCCTAATGATTATAGCAGTTATTGTCTCTCCCGTGACCCAGTGAGCGAATATTCATCTTCATTTAGGAATATGCTGGGTGATTATTTTAATTAAGACGGTTTGAGCTGTTTTACAAATCCAAAATTTATTATTATTAAAAAAAAATGTGGCACAAATATAAAAATTTACATAAATTTGCAGTTAAAAAAAATGTGATTCCATTTGAAGCTTTTACATATTTAAAACGATAATTCCACATAAAATTTTTGATTGCATCAACGCTTTAAAACAAAAATCCGACTACAACATTACGTAATTATTTGAGAAGTTAATTTTTTTCCTATCCAAAATTCTGACGACGAGCAGACGATTGACGCACAGCCCTGATAAAGCTCTTATCGCCTCTATTTGAGTCACTTTCCTCTATTGATTAGAAATTGATTAAGCGAACGAATAATTCTTGCTTCTATTTGCCAACCTGCGAATTGCAGAGAGGATTTTGGATTTCGTCAAACTAAGCTTAAAGCTAGGATGCGCGCACAATTTCATCTGTGCCGCAACATCCGCCGACATTTAAAAGTATACTACGCAATGTCAGATGGGAAAAAACAATAGAGCTGCACACAACCCAATTATTCAATGGAACATGCATGAATGAGTCATTCCGCACTTGTGTTGCATCTGGAAAAGTGGCATCAATGTTCACCACACGCACTCGTTCAATCAGCTAGTTATTTTTAATTCACTTCACAAGTCTTCAATTAGCTACAAAACTGAAAAGTTTGAAAAAATAAATGTAATTTTGCCTTATGTATAATTTGTATTTTTTAAGCTTGTTGCACGCCTATGGCGTTCTATAAATAATACAATTAAGTCTCCAATTAAATTATTTTTTTATAATCTTTTATTTTTCTTCTTTTTGTTGAAAGCGCTAATTTTTTGGCTTGAAGTTTTGCAATAGAAGAATTCAAAGTTTCTCCATCATAATATTTTACTGGAAGATGAAGAAGGGTTTTCTTTTTCCCTACATCAAAATCAACCTTATCTGGGTCAAGTTTGACTTGCACCATTATTCACTCGCAGGGAGACGATTGACGCAGGATTAACTGATAGAGGGATCAGTTTTCATTTCAAAGAAACCGCTATTTCAACCAACCTAACTACAAGACACTGCATATTATTTATACTCATAAAAATTATTTTATTTCTCTACTAACTATTTCCGGAGTTTTTACAAATTATATTTTTGATGGATCCAAAATGTTTTTCCTTTTCTGTTATTGTTGTTTATAATATTTGTTGTGAAATTAAAATTGAATGCTTAATTGCTTGCATAAGAAAGCTACACGCTCTTTGACGCTCTTCATCCGACAGCAAAATTAAAAATCAATAAATTCATTAGGCATTTTCTTTCCTGTTCGGTACTTAAAAAAATATTAACTTCAGTCATAAAGTAATAATAATTATTATTAAGTAAAAAGTATTGGATATAAATCATTACTTATTATTATAATCGTTAGTTATTCTCTCTCATTTGCAACTGAGCGGAAGAAATACATAAATTTTTGCAGCTAACCGTTTGCTCAGTCAGTTTCGCCTTCCAAAGATCCACGGGGGAAGCACGCGAACAAAAGTTTTGGTTTTTCATTCGATGTTCAGACAAGCATGACACTCTCAGCTCATAGTCCAGCAGCCGTCGGACAATAATGCGCCATGCTCGCGTTTTTATGTGGAGTGGTGGGAAAATTAGTGAAGCATTAATTACTGCTCTTTGGTCGTCTGCCTTTTTAGCGGTGCAATCCTCTCCTCGGGAAACCGGAGGATTTGTTTACAAAAAGAAAGAAACTGACAAGTCAGCACGACTGAAAAGCCAACATTATTTTGTGCAAATCGATTATTTCCAAAGCGAAATACCACATGAATGTGTTTAGATTTTCTTTAGAGAAAAAATAAATAATATAATATGATCTCCTCAAAGGTGCTCAAAGGATTAATTTATAAAAAAATTTGATTTATTATAAAATTTTACAAATTTTTGTAATTTTTGCAAAATATTTTTGGGGCAATTCATTTAAGGCTATTAAATTTCCTTAGAACATTTAACAAACGAGGCGAGGGCCAACTTTCATCTTTTTTATTCGCGTATTACAATTTCAGCGAAACAAAATGAAAACACGCATGGAGCCGTGGAAAGTGCCGAGCGGTGCTGCTGATAAAAATTGTATTCTGTATGATATTTGCCCGGCGTGAAGTTCATGCTCAAGTGGCCGCACATCCACTCGCGTGACTGCACCTTCCACGCACTCGCTCGCTCGCTCCCTGCCATTGCCCCCGCACAATGCAGAGGAAAGCCGCCGCAGCAGACCTTCCAGGAGAAGCTAGTCTATCTAATTCAAATTAAACCCTCCGCGCACCTTGCCCTATTTAAATTCATCAGCGGCAAAACACGGTGTTTGAGCTGCGTGAAAAAAAGGGGGAGACCTTCGTGCCTGTATTTGCAGAGGACCGCGCGCAGTAACAATGATAATTATGAATGAACACGGACGACAAGCTGACCTGCTGTGCGCTTGGTTCGTCCAAACAATCACGTAATGCTCGTTAATACTTTGGCACGCTTAGGAGTTTTCAGTTCAGGAAAACTACAAATATTATTACTTAAACAATTGAATTAATAATTCTTTTAAAATATTAATTTAAAGTAAATAAAAAAATCGGCCATTGTTTGTTTTTTATTTAACACAATTTTAGCAATGAGGAAAAGCCCGATCCCTTCATTTCCATGATAATCTCCTTGAATATCAATTTCTTAAAAAATTTTTTTTTTAATTTATTCAAAATTTTCTTATATACTTTTTTTTTAGAAATAAACAGACCATTGTAAATAATGAACTTCACTCTTAATATATATTTTTTTTCACTGGTTTTAATACCTTTTCTCACTTTTTCAAAACAATTACAACCGTTTTGTATTGTGAATTTTTGTGTGCAAAATAGTCTCATATAAAATAAGAATTAAAATGCAGCCGTCAAATTGTTTTCTAAAGTAGGGCCACCGTCACGCCAAATTAGTCGCATCTCACTTGCAATGCCTAGAGCCTCTTTCTCCGCATTAAAATGATCGTCTGCGCATTGTTTCTCGTCGGCACAGATTTAATGCAGCCTGCGTGCTTCGTGCTCCAGTTGAAACGCGTCGATTCAAATTTGATGCTCACTTCACATTCAATTTTTTGCTCCGGCGTCTCTGCGCCTGAAAGTAATCATACTGCCTTTTGATTGCGTGTTTAATTTCAAGGCTGGACCGATCTCTTCGGCTGTACCTGCGTCTGGCTTTTGGTCTGCCGACCACAACGAGATGCTTAGCCACTTAAATTTGCGGAAATTCACTGCCAGTGGCAGAAAGAATTAAACGTCATTATGTGTCGCTGCCATTTTGCGTCTTTATTTATTTTACCTGGCGCGTAAAAGCTTGAATTTGCTGCACGATTTAAAATGTGGACGTTGAATAAGTTGAATTAGTATGCACAGCAATCAAAACAAAGCATGTGCGAGCAAACAAAGCTGCATTTCAAACAAAACCGCAGCGACGAATGATGCTGCGAATTCCTTTGAAAAATAAAGAGAAAGAAAAACCGTTGATGACACTAGAATGAGAACGCAACGGCTGAGGAATTATTTTCCAGCATCTTAAAACACATTTAAAAAATTCTTCTTTGCTGAAATTATTCAAAAGTCCAATGAAATTGAAAGATTGAATTTTTGTATTTTTCATTTTTTGCAATAAATGTGCCTTTTTATAACGTTTTTTAATTTTTCATTTCAGCCTGTTGGTGAAGAAGTGGACAGCGGAAATTTATTGGCCATTGAGATCAACTTTGAAATCGTGGGCGGCAACGTGGTAATAAATGGACGTTCCAGTCTTCAAAAGCGACCAAAAGAAAATAAGGTAAGAAATTTTACAATTAATCAAGATATCAAAACTAATTAAGGGTATTTTAAATTATATTTAAATTCTGTATTCCGTTTGCAAAAATTATTAAAAAAAAGGGCAAATAATTTTATTGTAGCAATAAGTTTGACAACATATTTTGCAAATATTTAAAAAAAAATTGATTTTCAATGCATTTTTATCCCCGTTTTTGGTCCTGGTTCTGAATTTTATATTCTGGTTCTATATAAAGTTAAATTTGAACTATAATAATAAAAAAATTATACATATTTAAATTTAGCTGTAAATATATTAAAGTGCAAACCTAAAAATGTTAGCACAAAATTTATTCGCTTATTTACAAGCGGGAGCGTCACAACTTTTTATAACGCTTCTTATCAGCGCAAAACGTATATACCGCCTCAAAGGATCTTGCAAAGCCATAAAATCCGCGTGCAAAGTGACGTACAGCCACAACCCCTGCATTAGCAACCATAGTAATGCTTCGGGTTGTTACATTTTGGCCGAAAAGAAATTGCTGGAATTTATTGTTTGCAAAAAGCTTATTTGAGAAATGGAATAATTATAGCTAAAATATTATTTAAAAATTTCCATATTTGCACATTGTGTTCTAATAAACTTTTCATTCAATTCGATAAATACAATAAACAATATAAATATCAAAATGATTGAAGGAAAAAATGAGGCGATGAACGATTTTTCATATCTCATATCTTATTTTTAGTGATTTATTTTGGCACGATCAATAAATGTTTTTTTTTTTTAAATTTATTAGCACTTATTTTTGCCTGAATATGGTCCCCTGCACTTGGTTTGTGTGGGGTGGCGATCTGAGTCAAGTGCCGTAAATTACGTAAAGGAGAACTCGCTCGCTTTTCGCCCCTCCGAGCATTGCGAAAATGTGGGGTTTACTCGTGTAAGAGAGAAGATGAGTCAACCGACAAACTTTCCCTACGCAACACTGCGCATGCTATTCGCACGCACACATGTTTCGCGCCCGCGAACGAGGGTACATAATAATTATAATTATGGGAACGGCCGGCGCGAAGAATTATTTCTCATAATGAAATTTAGCGCTGTGCGCAGCTCCAGTTTTCAACTGCGATTGTCCTCCATTTCACATGCATCTCCAGATAATTGCTCATTATCAAAATCTCGCAGAGAAAAAGAGCGAAGACATTTTGTTATATCATTCTTTTGCTGCAACTTTACTCGGATTTTCGGAAGATGTGATGCAACTAATCGTAAAATGTGACACAAACTTGCTTGAGGCATGCGTTCTTCAACGAGGAATTATCGTTGGTATGAGATTGGATGAGCAAACAAGATTGTCTTCATAAGATTTTTTTTTTAAATGTAACAATATTTTTTTTAATGTCTTTTTTAACATCTTAAGTTGTGAAAATTATCTAAATTCTAAATCCTCACATTTTTAGAAGTGGTAGAGCACTCAAGGGGAAAATCATTCAGAATATTTAAAAAAATTTTATATAATTTTATTTTTACCCACAAGCAGTTTAAATTGACAATAAAGACTCATCCATATCTATTCAGCGATATCGCATGCGTTGTTTGCTCAGCAAGTGATATTTGTAACGCAGCTGCTATTTTGCAGCCACTTGAAAGATCTGTTATGCTGCGCCAGTTTTCCCATAACAATGTCCTCTTAATAATGTGGAGCTCAGCAGAATAACGTTGGTTTTCGATCGCAGATTTTTAAAATTAAATTGCGACCGAATGCGTGTTCAAAAGAAATTGAACTTTGTAACGCTCAATTCAATTCAATACGTTAATTTGTAATTTTTAGTAAAATTAAAATCAACTGAATTTTTTAGATTATAGAATTTGGCCACTCCTGATAAGTTCTAAAGATAATTATGAAACAAAGAATACAAAGATTATTTTGGCTGATTTTCATAGTTTTTTAAATAATATTTTGAAATCTCGCCGTCAAACTTTGGAGTGATTGAAGTTGATAAGCAAATTTTTGACATGATAATAAAAATGCCACACACAAAACATCCTTTTAATCCTGAAATTTGAGCCAACGCCTGTGATTTTCTTGAAAATAATGAACGTCAGCAAGTGTCCTTGAATATGGAGCAGAAAGCAGCTGTTTTTTCGCCTGTGATTCACAGAGCAGATGTTTCCATATTGGTTCGCAGTTGCAAAACTGCTGCTCGCTCCACCTACAAAGGCAAGCACGCCATTGCCAAACTAATTTGCATTGTGGCCGTACTTTTGCAGTTTCAACTCAATATCTTCTGCCAAATTGCATGAATTGTAAAAATTTAAAATATCAAAAAAGTTGGAGACAAACAATCAATTTGAGTAAAGTTTTCTTTCTATTGTTGAGGTTATTGCATTTTTAAATCATTTGCTCATCGCAGAATATAAAACCCACGCGCTTCTGCATGCCTGGCACCTACGTTGGCATGAAGTTTTGCTGCCAAAGTCCACCACACCTTTCTCAGATTGCAGTTCTGATGTTAAATTCTATTTCAAAATCACTTTTATTCTGATCCAAGTAAAAGTTAATTGAATTCTGTGCACTTCTTCTTTTTTACTTTAATCCAAATAATCTCACTTTTTCATCACCATTCCAATGATTTTGTAAATGACAAGAGTTAATCTGTGCGTTTTAAATTTTTTCCACATCATCAGCTAATTAATGATAATTTTGTTTTTCATCAATTAAATACCAATTAAGATTGCACCTCATTTAAATTTTGTACGCACTATTTATGAAAAGTAAACAATAATGGCAGAATTTCCCACGAAAATCTGCTTTCTATCCCGCCAACGCATATTTTTATACACGAAGAAAAGTGAGTCGTTTTTTAATTAAATTTTTTATGTTGCGTCTTCCCAAAATGATATTTTCTGAGAGGGATCTCCCACGGCCACGTGCATATTTATTTCATTTCTGCAGCTGCAGCATTTTCGGCAGCGATGCGGCTGAAATTAGCCGTGGAACGGATGGGATTAGAAAGAAAGTGAGCGGCGAGAAGTCGGTGCCACATTTTATTGCATGCTCCAATAAAATAGCACATTGCTGCGGCCACTGTTGAGGTGATTATATCACGAAACTGCACGGGGGCATTGCACCTATGGCCAAGAAATATTTCTTAAACAGATTTATTCTTCAAAGTTATTAATGCGCTGAGTCGGCAAGTTATTCACCTTGCAAAATGCAATAACGCAATTTATATACTGCAGGTCGGAACAATTTAAATCGCAAAAAACACTTTCTTTTGTGGCAAAATTCACTGCCGTTTTCTTCTTTTTGGAGAAAAGTGAATCACATGCGGAATAATTCTCTGGTTAGTCGAGTGCCAAGGTTGGGTCTGGCGTTAAATTGATGCACATTTTTTCTGGGTTTTAAAGGAATGTAAACCGCAACGGCATTGAATTTTTTGTAATCGCTGAAATTTCTAATTAATATCAACTCAAACCGTTTAATTTAGTGTGAAAACCAAGAGTGCTGAAGGTTAAATAAAATACAAACAAGGCAAAATTTTTCATAGCTTTAAATTATTATAATTTCATAATGACGTAGGTTATGCGTAAAAGTATACAGTTGTATTTTGCCTGAATTGTAATGAATTTCAATTTTGAGCTTGAATCTTCAAAATACCGCAAAATATATTATATTTTTAACTGAAGCTCCAAATGCCAATAAAATTTAACAAAAATAATACTTGCTGAGTCATTTAATTTATGCTATTTTTTACCTGTCCAATTAAGCTGAATCTTTCTGTAAATTATTCATAATTTTCTCCGACCTTTTTGCAAATCGTGACATTGCTAATGTGGCCAATTACTTATAAAAACAGTTCATCTTGTTGCCGAAGGAAATTATTTTGAAAGAACGTCAAGGCAGGTCAGCTAATGAATGATTTAAGAAAGTTCAAAACTAAGTGATGGCCAAAGTGTTGAAAAAGAATGCCTGAATACAATTTTGTTTATTTGATTCCGCGTCAAATTAATATTCCCCATCATCATTGTCGAATAACGTGTTATGGCAGGCGTTTGAGTTACCAGAGGAGAACGCGTTTACGAATCGTTCCGAGTAGTAGCGAATTTTCTGCCCGTTATACTCTCGTAAAACACGACTAGGAAGGCACGCACTACAATAATGGGATGCCGCCGCCGTTGCGACGACACGCAATGAATTTGACATTTAACTGTTCGTCGCCGTGCAGCTTTTTGTTTTGCAGCTACAGTTGCATTTTAATTTCATGTTTGCCGATCTGTTTCATGCGCTGTTTCGCGCCCACAATAAATTTTAAAACTGTCAAAACTTGTTGTACAGTTATGCCGTTAAAGCCGAATGAAAATGATTTTGGCACTAGATCGGAGGAAATTAAAAGGCTTGTATACTGATCTAGTTTTACGGGTCCTCTTGAAATCAGGTTGAATCTGCTCTCAGGTTTTCACGCCGCGACTAGAAAATTTATGAAAAAGAAAGTGGTTTTTGTATTCTCGGTCGGACCCTATGCGCAGTAGAAATTGGATCTCTAATCTGCAAATATGAAAACGGCCAAATATTTTTTTGCCGACCGAAAATAAGTCAAGTCAGTTTACATACAAAAGCCTAATGTAATTTGTGCTGTGTCTAGTTAAATTAATAAATTTTTATTCAAAAAGTAAAATTTTATTATTAAATAATAAATAAAATAAATCTTTCAAACCATTTTTGGTTGATATAATAAATTATAATAAAAATATTAATTTTTATTTATTTATTTTACATTTTTGCAAATATTTGCATATTTATTTATCGTAAATTTTTTATGTTCATTATATTTCTTATAATTATAAATGTTTGTGTGAAGAAGTTCACATACGTCGAGATGATCATGGAAATGAAAAGATCGGGCTTTTTCCTCATAGCAGAAATTGTTTTTATTCAAAAACTAAACGGTTCTACCAGTTTTGGTCACAGTATGCGACCCTATTTCATGGGCAAGAAAAATACAAAAATTCTGCAAAATTGGAAACAAAAAATATTAAAAATGTGTTTTTTTTTCAATTTTGCTAATTTTTGTATTTTTCTTGCTCATGAAATAGGATCGCTGCAGGACCTCCGACCTAGTAATTATTTATACTGGTTAGTTTTTCATTATCCAGATCAATCATCTTCATTGCTCAATTCCATCGCTCCTGATTAAAACTTCTCCTGCTCCCTTATTGCTCAAACATAAAAGGTTTCTGTTGAAGCGACAAAAGCCTTTGATGGTTTCTTCGGGGTCCTAATCTAATTAAATTTTATCTATGCCGTAGCAGCCTTGAGTAATGACCGTAATAGATAACAACGAATCGATCATTTTGTCCAAAACACATCGTGCGTGAAAAGTATTATTTTGCGCAACACTCGCTTACGTGCTAATTTATTTTTAGCAAATTAAAGACGATTGTCGGCAGTTCTCTTGCAGGTTTTCTTCTATAAATAAAGAAGAGAAAAAAACTAGCCGACGACACGTTTCGTGTCTTACACACACCTGCAATGGCACTCGTGCTCGACTTATTAATGTTAAAACCTCCTGTTATATTATAGCACTTTTGGGGCTGCGTTGTGTGCGCGCAGAGCAGGTTGTTCGCCGCCGACCCTCACCGAGCTAGAAACGACAGTTGGTTAGCGGCGAAAAGCAAAAGTGAGGAGATAAAATCCTAAAACACAATTGAAGTTTCACTTTGCTCGCAAGACTACTTTTGGAGGGTCAAGACCCCTCTTAATTTCTCAAGTTTTAACACGTTTTCCGCGCTATTCTTTTTCGCTTGTTGGTTGAAAGTTCAAAATTTTATCAAAGATAAAATAATTAAATAATTTCAAGTAAACTCTGTATTTGAACGTTCAGCAATATTTATCGATATTGTCCAGTTTTCCAACAAAATAAACTAACCCAAAAAATGTGAATTTCATAGTGAGATGAATCTGTTTTGGATTTGCTGCTTTTTCTCTCTTTCAAGTTATACTTTCTCGCGAATCCTCTCATTTTCACTCGCTTGAAGAATGTTGATGTTTTTGATCGCAGATTTGAAAGGGATTTCCGCAGCTGGGCAGCGTCTTCTCTTGCTTGTTATATTTATTCGGGACCGACCTAGAAAAACGAGAATTGCTGGATCCACCGCTTTTCTATTTGCACCACTCGAGACATTTGATTAGCCATAAATCTTCTCGATTTCTATTAATGCTGCTTAATTAATATCATCTCTTCAAGTTTGTGAGAAAAAAATAGGTAGGCCATGAAAAGCGACTTTGTGAAAAGTTAAAAGTTATTTCAACGTTGGTATAAAGTTTGATCCAATGAACTGAATCTTAACGTGCGTGAACCGCACTCAAATCGGCTGGTCACGCGTTAGTGATTTTCTTGGTCTATTCAATAAAAAAAAAAAAAAATATATCCAGCTAAAAGCGGAAAATTGATAAATTGAGGCATAAAACCTCTGGCACATGTGACAAGAATTAGAAACGTTCTTGAGCACGGGACATTTGTGGTTTTACTTGAATTGATTTTTTTTTTAATTATCTTTTATTAGGAGGAAATGAGAAGAATTGCTACAAAATGAATAAAAATTAAAATGAAAATAAAGAATTAATGAGACCATTTTTATCTATTGGGGAAATAATGATAATTAGCAGTATTATTATTATTACAGAAAAATAATAATATTTCGCTGCGTGCTGAGACATTCGCGTTTCTCCTCAACGCGCGGCTCATGAAAGTAAAATAGGTGGCGCATCTCTTTCTGAATTTCACTTGAAGCAATGCTCGCACTTGAATGTAATTTCTTTTCTCCGCCGAAAGTTTTGCTCTTCACCGCCGGCGCAATTAATTAACCCGCTGAAACCATAGCAAAGACGCGACGCCTGCGGAGAAACAAAACAAAAAGATCAAACCGATCAGCTTGGCTGAACTCGAGAGTTTTCCGAGTAATTTTTTGTCTCCGCGAGGGATTCAAGGATCACGGAATTCGCAAGTCGGTGCCACCTGAGAGAGTTTAAAAAGCGCGACCAGTGAAATAACCGTCCGTTGATAAATCTGAAAATATTCGGCGAGAGCGTGCCGTGGTTTCCAATTTCTGGCAAAACAAACCATAAACCACGGATGATTTTGTCTGACAGTTTTGTTATGTTTGCTCGCCAAACCATGTAATAATTTTTACATTTTACCCTTTCTAATAATCGCATCTTTCTCTTCAATCTTGTGAGCGTGACCCAAGCCGCTCATGTGTGTGGCTGATGGCGACAAATTAGACTCGCTTAGCCAGTGAATCAGGCGCTCTTGAATTGACAAAGCCAACAGCAACCTGCATCACGCGGCTTCTCTCTGTTATTCTATTTGTTTGCACCTGCCATCTTGGAAAGTGCATTATTTCTTCGAAAGTTGTCATTTTTTAAGAGTGCATCGATTAAGTTAAAAAACTGAAAAGAATTTAATTGTAAAAAATGAACTGTCAATCACAGAATCAAATTTACAATATTTATATGTAAAGTGAAATTAATTAAATCTCAATGGTAACAACTACACTCAAATAATTTACTCTATTCCTCTCTCAACATATGTGGTAATGTTAAATTTTGTCATTTTTTTTATTATTAGAGAATAAAAATGTTAAATCCACCCTAAACCTCTTGAGGATTCGTGATTTAAAAGAAAATATAATATAAAATCATAAAATCAATACATTTTTTTTTATTAATAAAATGTATTAAAAATCTGTCATTAACCTTTAAAAAATAGCATTCAAGGATGTTTTGGGTTGTGAATATTTTACCTTGTTGCGTGTGTGCGTCACTTTTGGTTTCTTTCACAAATTGCCCTCCCTGAGGCTTGTCCTATCTTGACGCAATGAACAGAATCAAGGAAGATGTTTTTGCTGAGAGCGGTTGTAAAACGATTAATGCTGCTCGCATCTCGCAATTACTCTCAAGGCTTTCAAGAATCCAAAAGCACCTGAAACCTCAAAAATGCTGGCGAATGGATGGAAAAATAAAAACATTTCTCTCCAGCAATAATTGTCTCCCTGAGTTTTTAAAGCAGGAAATAGCAAAAATATTTTGACCCTTCAGCAAAGTTGCATTTAAGAAAATTACTTTGTCAGCAACGACTTAAGGAGGGCAAGTGCTGAAGCATCGAAGCGGAGTGTTTTGAACTTTTGTGCAAAGCACTTTTTCAAGAGCCTTTTATAATTTTATTAAACGGCACTTGTACAAACGTTAGCAATTTGTATCTTGGTCGTATTTCCTGTGAAATTTGACTCTTTTTTATTATTTATCTTTCCCTTGATAAAGCGACAAAAAGTTCCTGACCACTAAGCTTGAAAAGATTTGAACCCAACAGTTTTCAATGCCACAGCAGCACTCATGCGTTTGAAGGAAAACGGATGAGATAAAAAAAAACTCGAGGAAAAATAAATCTAGCCAAAGGCGCAAATTAAAATCAACCAAAGGATTTTAAATTGGCAACAAGAAATCAAGCATGTTTCAGATGGTATATTCATCTTTAATGTATGATTTGATAGATGAAAAAAGAAACACCAACCAACTGAAGAGAAAAATAAGAATCCCTTTTTTTAATTCAATATGTTGCCATTTTATCAATTATTGGAAAACAATTAAAAAATTTAGCCACCATTGTTTTAAAGACTTGATTTGACTTTGTTAATAAGGTTTCCTTAATTGAAGCAATTTAATTAATTTCACCACGCTAAAAAAATTCTTTCTCTGATTGCTGAAATCATTTGCTCTTTTTATTGCTTTTCGATTGATGCTCAATAAAATTAAATTGCCATTGGAGAGTAAATAGAAGTTGCTATGGGGTCTCTTGGTGGCCCAGCAGCGTTTGTAATTGAGTGCGTCTGCGGCTGACCGCCTGCTTCCAACTCACAATGAAAAACAAGGATATCCGCCTATATATTTCCGGCACCACACTTTGATATCGCCAAAGCTACATTATTTAGTGGAGCGAGTGGAACACAAGAGGGTGCTTATTTGTTCTTAATTAATGCCGCGTCGGTCATATCTTAATATTTACATTTTTAGTTCAGTCGTGCACTTGTTTTTTTAACGCATCTCAAGTGACTCTACTGAGAGCAGAAGCTGAATAGCACCAGCCGACAACCCTCACAATTTATATGAAATCTAATAAAGAATAAATATGAATTTTTTATCATACAAATGCAGGAACATATTTCCCTTCCTAGAAAATGAAGATCATGGATGAAAACAAAAGGCTTTTTTAAATCAAATTTTAAATGCTGTAAAGAAATTGGTCTTATAAAAATTTCCTCTTACATAGTTCCGAGAATTTTAAAACTCTAAAAGTGGGACAATAATCGCTTGAAACTTGCAACAACAATAGTCGTCAGTCCTTGGCTTGGCGCCGTGTTTTGTCAATCTTTTGAGCCCTCACATATTAACTCGCCTTATCTTCATGCCTGATAAGAAAAAAAATATACAAAAATATTAATAAAACTAACATTTTCCTTGGTAGCCACAATCATTTCCAACAAAACAATCCTGTGGAATTTAATAAATGATGCCGATTTCCTATTTTAATTATCTTATCGCATTGAATACCCTTGAGTAGATTTGCCGCAATAACAATCAATTATATCTTTTAATTTGGCTTTTGGAATTATTGTTAAAATTATCACTGAAATTTTTTTATTATAAATTTTATAATAATTCATTAGAAATGAACTATTAAATCTTATTAAAAATTCAACCAAATTTCAATTTGATTTTTTTCCAGATGAGAATCAAATTTGACGACGGTGCTACCTCAACGTTCGAGTACCCCTCGGAGGCCTCCCTTCTGATGGACGATGGCGTTCCAATAACTTCTCCTTCAGCCGAAGACACCCCCGCTCAGCCCAGAGGCCTGCAACCCCTTCCCTCAGGTATCAACCTGATTTTCTCTCAACCCGTCGCCGTTTGACTACCCTTTTTCATCCTTTAAGTCCTTTATGAGCAATCTTTTAGTTTTGCAAATATTAAAAGTTAAATTTTATTTCTCATTGAATTTGCAGACCGACGACTTAATGCCAAATATTATGTGATTAAGAGAACGTGGCACTCTCCAATGCTGGACACGATAGTTTGAATTTCCTCCAAATCAAAGCTAGATTAGTTTAATGTTAGAGTTGTTGTTAAGTTTAAAAGTAATTTATTTATTTCTTACCTTACTTTTGACTATTTTATTTTTATTTTTTCAAAAACAAAATTTATTCTGAAAAATTTTGAATACCTGCCAGTTGATGCAGAGGAAGGACCCACTTAATCTCATGTCAAAAAATAGCCAGATGTATATATTAAGAGTTTAAAAACGTTCTTTTTTTCCTGAAAGTTTATTTCTATTTTTTATTTGAACTATCCGATTGAAGTAGGTCACACAAAAGATTCCCACCTTACCTCAAAGTACCTGTACTGGTAGTTTTGCTAATGCTTGCCTGTGCTTTAGGTTCCGGTAGTCTCGCTAGTTACACCCCCAGTAAGATCCTCATGTCCGACGACACGTTCGAGCTTGGAGTGACAAGAGCTGCTGCCATGACGCCCATCCTGCAGCCCAGTCAGCCGCAAGAGGACTCTTTCCTGCTCAAGCCAGCGGACGATGAGGAGACGGTCGCGTGGAGCTCCGAATCTGCCAGCAGCGACCTGCTCTTCTAACTGAAGTCAAAATTTCTACATTAAAATGGACCAGTTATTGTGTTTTTCTATGTGACTGCATAAGTGAAGAAACGTGTAAAGAGATCAATAAGCTACAAAGAAAAAGTGTGCTTCGCACTTGATGGACTGTCTCTTGTAAAGATTTTCAGTATTTTACTTCTCTCTCGGCGCCATCTTTTGCTCATTCCATTGTTTCCTCTTTATTGGAATAGAAATTATCGAATTTTGGCCTAGTTTGCATTCCTTTCTAGTCCGGCCACTTGCGGTGTGAAACGCTCGGAAATTAACTCGAAGCCAGGGTTCGTAATGTGCATGTCAATTTTTTTCATTGTAATTGTTCACTTCCGTCAGATTCCATTTGTAAGGCGTGCCTTATTTACAAAACAAGAATTTAATCAGTTTATTGAATTAAGAAAAAACAACTGATCAAAACACCATTCCAAAAACGGCCTTTTGCTGAACCCTTGGCCACGAGTCCTGGAATCGTGCCTGAAGCGGCCGCCAATGCAACAAAAGTAGCTGTTTGAATATTTACTGTTTGGTATGATGAAAAACAATTAAAATTAATGTTTGGGGCGTCAGCTGCCATCCTCTTCAATGTGCTGTTCACGCGGCACATCACAAAAGTTCAATTTGACATCAATTTTTGTGATGGATTGAAAAGTTTATGTGATTCTAATTTATCTCGCCTGATTTGTGCATTATCCATAAAGGTGCAACGTGAGCATTCATAATCAATGCGGGATCAAATGCTAATTTTCACTGCAATGTGAACTTGAAATTTTTGTTACATGTTCTTTTAATTGTATTCTCCGTGCTTTGTTTTAAATATAGTGTGTAAGTGATCTCTAACATAATAGAGGTGTCAATGTTGATCGATATCGGCATAAGTGTTTGAAAGAGAATATGTCTGTGCGCTTGAAGAAGAAAAATGCAGATCTCGTTGCGAGGAAAATATGGGATCAATTTATTTAAGAGCTTTCAAGAACAATTAACTGCATTTTTGAGTTTCTACTCCTGCTACACATTTTTGTATTTGTATCACAATTATTAATCCTTGATGGAATAAAATAATTCATTATTAAACATTAAAAAAAATATATTTTTTATTTGAAAAAAAAATTGTTGAAATGAAGGTCGCATAAAAATTTTCGGCCATGGTGTGAAAGTGAGCCAAGGACATTTCATATGGCAATGATAAAGCCGGCCAAGGGGAAATAGTGTGCTGATATGATACTGCCACTTTTCCAGTTGAATTCGTCATCTCATCATGCTGCAACCTAGGATACACACGAAGAGCTCTACTCTAATATTATTCAGTATTTTAATGATTTCGGTGAACTCTTTTTCTAATTAACAACCTTAAATTTAGTAAATTTGTCTTTTCCAGAAATCTACAGGTAGCAAAAAAAGTATCAATGTGGCGAAAGATCGAGACACTGGGCCGATGGCCGAATGGGCAAACACCACCGACGATGTTCTTAATTATGAAGGTGGTTTAAACTTTCAAAATTTTTATAATTTTCCTATTACATAGAATAAATAAATTCACTTATTTTTTATCTTTATTAGATCCAGACTTAGATTCAAATAAGATTGTGTGCTCTCAGCAACAATTCACTGTATTTTTGTTAACTATTAATTTTTTTTAGAAGTTTTACTTTTATCTTTGTTACAGTCGCTTTTTGATTGCTGCAAAAAAGAGCGAGAGATATTTTTTACCGAGCGAGCAGTCTCTAGATGCAATAAAGGGAATTCGTCGTTTTTAAACAACTTCTTGACTGATTACGTTCTGAACAAGTACCAATCGACAGACAAAAATGCGATAAACCTGAAATCGCCTACTATAAGTATTATTCCGCACATAAAAATGAAATTAAATGATTTCAAATAAACCTCTCTTTTCAAGGAAATGCTCTTGGCCCCATAATGGTGAAACCACTAATAAAAATTTAGTTTGTAAATTATAGGTTAGATTTAATTCTAGTGTTTTGTGGAGTGCATTTTTCGGAACGAAAAATTGGTTTGCATATTTCAATCAATTTATATGAGAGAAGTTTCAAATATTTTCAAACTCTTCTTACAGATATTTCGGAGCAAAACAATCAATTATGATAAGCTGATGAACCGTTTTATCAGTGCAGTAAAGTCGGTGGCGCCAAGAAGAATGGAAGAGATAATTAATAATTGCCGTCTAAATGTCGAAGGTGTGCCACATACAATAATTAGTCATTCTCATAACCCTCATTAATTGTGCTATTAAATTTGATTAAGATCTTCCTCTGACTTCAATTAAGGCACCGGTTAATAAATGTCTAATCCGACCATTGATGTTGATGCAGTGCCTGAGGAAAGAGTTTTTATTTGTAAGGCGGAATATAGAAATTTCGTTTTATTAAATTGAAACAAAATTTCACATTTTCCCTAGGAGTGTCCGCGTAATTTGACAGTGAAAAGTAAGGAAATGACAATGATAATAATTTATGAAAAAAGTAGGAAAATTAATTACAATTCTTATTTAAGGTGTTCCGTGCAATCAGGCCAAACTGAATTTGCGGCATTGTGAGATAGTGTGAGCAAGAGATTCATTTGAATTCATTTGTATATTTCTTTGTGAATTCAAATAATATTCAAATAAATGTTATTATTTTAGATTGCTTTTGAGGATATAATTCTAAATTGAAATTTTGCATCTGTCAAAATAATAATTTTTGTTTTCATCGAAAGATAAGCTCAACAATTCAATTAATGAAAGTATTACGTTCGTTGGGCCAATTGCAGCTGCATTTAAGCATAATATTATACTTCGTGCATCTTAAAAACCTGCCAATCAAGTCGGGAAGCTGCTGAATACGCGAATTCTAAAATTGCTATTTTATTTTCGATTCTGAAACTGTCCTTTTTTAACGTAATTTAGAAAAAAAAAAAATTTTTAAAAATATTTAAACCGAGCTGATAAGCTTTGCTTTTAAATACTGAAGAGGTAGGAAGTGCTAAAATAAATACTTAATAGATTCTAGCGCATTTCGCATGTCTAGCTAGAGCTCATCTAAACGCTCAATCGCCTGGTTTTGCGCTGGATAGGCAACTTGCTCGATTTACTTGTTTCGCGTGTTGCCTAATGCCTGCTTTCTCTTGCCGCGCCAAGTTTCAATCTATTCCTTTAACATCACAACCGCCTACTTAAAATTATTCAGCTGATGATAAAATCAAAATGGTTCATCACCATTTATTGCTTCATATTCATTATAAAAAAATTCAATTTGTTTTAAATTATAAAAATTGTTATATTTCTGTTCTTTCAATACGTTTGGACTTTGGAACCTTGTTATATGTTTAAATTAAGGTAGTTTGAGGCGTTTATTTGAGAGTAAGTTTTATAAAAAGCTTTATTTTCAGTTCATGGATATTTTTAAATGTTTTTCTCTTCATTTTGTTTTGTAAACTATATTGCAAATGGGGCGCGTCTCAATCAGTGGTGACGCTGCATAAGTCAATAATAATTATCATTTAATAATTATATTATAGGTTGTTCAAACAAGGTTTTTTGTTCTCTAAACTTGTGAAAAAACATATTTTATACAAATAAAATTTAATTTAGAAATTTCAAAGTGAAATTTTTATTATTTTATTTATTTACAAATCACATTTTTCCTGATTTTCAATCAGTCCTCTACAGGTGGTGGGTAAATAACCCCAGTATTGATTAAAAAATCAAACAGCTTTCTGGTCTTATTGACGTCGATCTTGATCACCTTTCTCGCCTGAGCCAACTTCAGGCCGCGCTGCTTGTTGCACTCACTGACCAGAATCTGTTTGAACTGGAAAAAGCTCTCAGGCACAAGTCTAGCCTGGGCGCACAACTCTCGCTCCTCGTTACTCAGCCGTTCGCTCAAAGGCAGACCGGTGACCTGCAGAGGCCGCATTTCCCTCTTGTGAATGCCCTTTGGGTCCATTTTAATTGGTGCCCAGTTCTTCATGTTCTTGGCCTGCTCTTGTCTGAGGGCCGCCAGTCGTTTCATCACTTCGGCCGCCCGCCTGGTCTTGATGCCTTGTGTCCTCAACTCGCACAACTCCACAAACCGGACGCGCAGTTCCTCAGCCTTGGAAAGCCCCACCATCAGGAAGTCCATCTGGTAACCGTTGAGAATGGTGGAGAAAGGGCTGAGGGCGCTGTATCTCTTCTGGTAGTTGTAGTACCGCTTGACCAAGCCGTGCTCCCTGATCACACGATGTTTCCGCGCCCGTTCTCGAAGCCGGTCGTTGTAAATGTTGACCATGGCCTCTTGAAGGGCTTCACACAATTCCAGCATTGAAGGGTCGCAGTCTGCACAGTCTTCAGGGCTGATACACTGCGAAAGATCAATTTCGGCAGCACCAGTGTCAAATTCAGGCCAGATTTCTGACCTCAGCGAGTTGTAAGTGCCAGAAGCTTGGACAATCTAAAAAATTCATTATATTTTATGAGTTAATTCAACTATTAAATAAATTTGATTTGATTAAAAAAATACCATTCTCGGAGGCTGATCAGTCGTAATTTTCAAAAGGTGAGGAGGCAGCGGTGCACGAATGAATGATTCGTTTTCAGTCTGCAGGTGGAATTTGTCATAGTGGTCCTTGCATTCCTGAAAATAATTAAAAAACTCATGACACAGCCTTCTTAATTTTGAAAGAAAGAAATCGAACCTCTGGTGGTCTTTTCAGCTTTCGCGAAATGTCGACCCAGTTGCCGTAACCGCAGGTCAGCATCGCGTCGAGCAGCCGGCGCTCGTCCCGCAGAGACCAGCCATCCTCCAGCACAGGAATGTTGTCCGTGCGGACGTCGTACGAGTGCCAACTCTGGTGAGGCCCGCGTTCGGCGCCGCGGGAAAAACATCGCGGACACACAGAGGCAACGCAATCGACACACTTGATGTACGGCTCGCGAAGAACGACTTCACAGCAGAAACAACACGAGTCTGGAACGGAAATAAATAAAAGGTAAATATGTAATTAAATGGACAGAAATCAATCATCGACTTACCGGCACTCATCGAATATTTTTAACTTCAGTTTCTATCTACATTTAAGGGCGAATAAAAAAAAATCAGTCACAGGCCAAAAGGTCAGTCGCAGTGAGTATGGAATCTGGCACTCCAGGACTGAGACAAATTGGAAATCAGACGAATTCTACGAGATAAAAAAGGACTGCATTCATCTCGCAAATTATTTTTTACAATTTTATCTTGTTGAATTTTATTTTATTGTTTTCATTTCGTTTAGTAGAGAAAGGTGTGTAGAGAAAGGAGAATGTCAACATTGCGAATATTAGTTTAAAAAATACGAAAATTGATTGAAAAAGACTAAAGATTCAATATTTTAATCAAATGAATTATAATAAATAACAATTTCAACCCTTCATTTCATATTTATCTGTTTGAAAATATATTTATTGCCGTGACTTATTCTACCTCCTTTATGCACACACCTTTCGTTTTTACAAAAAAACTGATCTAAGCACCTCTCAGCGGCACTAATTAGAAGCTGCAGAATGCGCCTTTGATATTATCCGCCGGTGCTGCCCCCTGAAGGTGGTCGTAGGGCAGGAGGGGCGCGGTCGAAAACAATAATTCGTGATTTGCGCTGCTGCTGGGCTAGGGTTCGCTCGCGCTCGGTCGCTGGGTTTCCACCAGTTTGCAGTCGAATCGCGTTTTGAGCACTCAAATGTCGACGTCGGGCTTCGGTGGCCGGCCGCGTTGATGAGCCTGCTGAGGTAAACAAACACGGCGATGGCGGAGAAGGTGGGCAAACCGCCTCCACCGGGCTCGAGGCCCCTGCCCATGAAACTGTTCGCCACCTGGGAAGTGGACCGGACACCGTCCAACTGCGTTCCAAGGTACGTAGGTTGATATTGACCGTGACCTTAGCGCCGCCGATTGCGGAATTCCTTTGAATCCCTGCTGGCTGCGATCGCGTTTTTGCAATTCGGATCTGAAATTCGCACTTTTTCGGACGAAATTCGCGTGATTCATTTCGTCCGTCGCGTGCATCAAGTGTGTTTTTGAGCTTTGTTTTGACTGCCGAGGCACGTGATGCGGAAAAAACGAAGATAACAAATTCGCCAGGTAGATCAGATACATTCGCAGACAGGATCAAAAAATAATTTAAGTCTTGAAGGTGGATTTTTTTGTGTAATTAATTGTCCATTGTTCTGAACGTCAAAGGGGTGTGGAGGATAGAAAAGTTCCCAAGCCTTTGTGTAAAAAGAATTTTGCATTTCCTCTGCTCAGCCAAGTGCAAATTCCCACACCCGCCGACAAAGGACAAAGAAACGAGGGAAGTGGGAATTCGCTGATTTTTCAAGCTAATGTGGGTCTCAGGCGAGTTTATCGTCAGGTAATTGAGAGCTGCTAACAACCTGGAAAATTTGGACATGTTCCAGTCATTGACTCGCCAAGTGTCTCGCTCTTTGCGTTTTTTTCTTGCTTAATAATGTAATGGGACATTTTTTTTCTTATTTCAGTTTTTTTTTTTTAATTTTGGCGATTTATTTTGGCTATTTTTTATTGTTTAAGAAAAATAAATATTAGGCTGCGGTCTGCAGCCATAATTCTTGAGCTGTGAAGTCATTTTGACAAGAATTCGTACAAAAATCAATTAAAAAATTTTCAAATGGTCATTTTTTCATGAAAAAATTGTTTAGAGGTTTCATTTTTACACAAAACCAATTTTTAACGCAAAATGTGACAGTTGAATTTAGTTTTATAAAAATTAATTTGATAAAACATTTCTTGAATTCAATTGTCAATTTTTGTGTAAAGATGTAACCTTTGAATAAAAAAGTGTTAATTGCAAAAAAAAATATTTTTTTAAAACTGTTTTTTGCACTAATTCTTGTTAAAATAATTTCACAGGTCAGCCGAAACATGTAGAGCAGGATATTGTTTTTTACTAAACAATAAACAACTTGCAAAATCTATCGAAGAAAAGCCGATTTTCAATTCAAACTCTTCGATCGTGAATTTACCACAAAATTCAAAAATTTATATTTTAATAATTATTCTCTTATCAATTTTATTCAATTAAAATATTAAAATACCGATACGTTTCCCGTTTGAGATTAGATAAATTTGTGTCAAAGATCAAAGTCCTTGACCCTTTTGCGTCAACTAAATGAACTGGTCGTCTTTTTTATCTCGTTGGTGTCAATTTTTTTAGATAAATTTTATACAACTTTTATCATAATCATTTTCGTAACTCCATCAGTTGGATTTTTATGGAAAGGTTGAATTTAATGAGCAACTTGTCAAGGATAAAAATTACATCACGTGCAATTTTGAAAACAATGCGAGGTGCAATTCGCGCGGCGTTTAATGTCGCGAAGCAGTTTCTGGCACCAACAGGTCGAGTTGCACCAAAATGAAAATGCGGATCGAAATAGCAAATCGGTCATTAGCAGGACAAAAAGCGGCGTTTTCGTTGTCGGCGTGCCAAACCGGGTCGGAAAAATGACTCACTGCGCCGCCCGCCCGCCCGCTTGTTTTCGTTTTTTGCTCGCGCGCGCTTCGCTTCACACGAGGGAGCCCTTCCTTAATTGGCCCCCGAGAGCGACCTTTCTCTCGGCGGCACCACGTCAAATGACCTCCGGTTCATCTCTCGAACTGCAACACGCTCTTTACATCTCGTTTTCAATGGATGAAAAGAGCCTTTGCAAACCAAATCAGCAGCTTTTGAATGAAAAATAATGGAAGATAAAATGCGATGAAGGTTGTTTTGAATTGCAAAAGGACGCGCTCGAGTTCCTTTTTTCAACCAAATTAAACGAGATTTTAACAAAATCTAATTTTAACTTTTAAATTAAAATTAAAAATTAACATAAGCGTATAATTTTTCGCGATTGATTTTTAATTTCAAATTGAATGACAGTTCAAGTGTTTTGAGGTTTGAGAAAGTCAATCAACTCGAGACAATGAAAGAAAGAGTACGTGGCTTGCGGCGTCCAAAAGTTGACCAGAAAAATCAATTATAGGTTTTGCACCGCTCAGAGCAGTGAAATTTGCAACTTGGTCCACAAGCCTGTAAAACTGGAATTTAATTGAAAAATGCGAGCTTCAAAACCAATTGAAGTGGTTTTCGTTATTTTTTCAGTCGCTTGTTTAAATGAATTGAGAATTTTTTTTTTTATTAATAAAATAAAATATTATATAAGTGTAGAGGACATTTTTAAAGAAGCAAATAAACCTGAAATAATGCGTTTTATAATAAAATTCAGAGAGATCTGGCTTTTCCTCGTTGCTTAAGTGTTTTTATTAAGAAAAAATGGCCCTACTAATTTCGGTCAAAGTCTGCGACCTATTTCATGAGCAAAAAGCAAAAAATAATAAAATTTCAAATTTTTTAAATTTTAAAAGGTTTTTTTCAATTTGCAAAGTATTTGTATTTTTTGCTTATGAAATAGCGTCGTAGACCGTGACCGAAACTGGTAGAGCAATTTATTTTTAAATAAAAACAATTTTTTTACACAGAGGAAAATTCCCGAGCTCTTCATCTCCTCGAGTCAATTTCTTCAAACAATTAAAAATTTAATTAAAAATGTAACAAAAACGGGATGTAAGTTTAAAGGTCATGATTTTCATAGGTTATAAAAATAAGCTCGTTACAATTTTATTATTATTATTTTTTTTTTAAATTTTGTCAATATTTGATTTGTGTATAAACTTTGGACTGAATCTCTAAACAAAATTTCATAACTTGGGCTATAGATAAGTCTTGTAAAAACATGATCCAAAAAATTTACTTTAAACTTATGTTACTGGTTTTCGCAGTCAGTTTTCATTTTTTTTCTGCGGACAATTGGCAAGGGTGATTTCAATTTCCTGAAATTAAATGATTCGTCAGAATCAAATAAAGCCAAATTGAGCATTTCATTCAAATTAATCATACCACTTCGCAGTCGGAAATTCGTTTGCCCAGCTTGTCGTTCTCCAGCCGCAACCTTTTCACTTGTTCGGCCGCGAGCGAGAACCAATGAGGCACCGCACCGATGTCACTCGTCCCAGGCCGCGGGCCAGGCAATCTGAGAATTCTCTGATCAGCGAACAAAAGAAAGAGACAAAGTGTCTCACCGCCGAGCTTGAGCCGTCGTTTCCGGCTGCGAACACAAATGAAACGATTATTCGAAAAGAGTGCGAGATGGAAACTCACTGGGAGGCTGGCGGAGGAGTCGCGCGGGGTCGCCGCCGCCGCCAAGCACAGAACAAAGCACCAAAGACGCCAGCGGTGCATCTCGATGGGAGCGCGAGACGATTATCGCCGCCCACGCCCTCGGCCTATTTATTTCTTTCAATCCGGGGTGTTGACTTGACCAGCCGATGCAGAATTGTGCAGCCGAGATAAAAAAAAAACGTTCTTACGCATGGAAACTAAATAAACGCGCGAGCATCAATATTTAGCTTTATATTGCGTTGATCAAACAAATGTACTGCGCTGATTCCACTCAGTAAATAGCAACTTGCTCTGATTTTTTCTTGCTTGTGGCGACGACCCTTGTGTAAATAAATATCAATAGTCAAAGAGTGACCAGAAAGGGGCAAAATTTTTCATTTTACATTTTTTTTTGTCCAAATTTTTCCCCAGAAAAAACTTTAACAAGCTTCTTATAACAATAAATTGTAAAAATAATAATTTTTTTATTTCATTGCAAAATAAAATTTTGATTAATCCAAAAATAATAAGTTGGACAATATTTTCTAATTAATCAAAATGATTTTATTTCGTTAAATCAAAAAATGCAACCAACGATTGACAATAATTATAATAAAACAAATATAAACGAAATCAAGCCAGAGTCGAAATAATTCACTGCAGAGCTTTTATTCGACCGTTCGTTCCGTTTTTATACTTTCGCCCAAAGCAAAGAGCGCACTCTGTGTCCCCATTATTATTTGTCATTCCTGGAATGCCGGCCGGCGCCGTTCTACGTGCAGTACATCGAATTTATTTTTTGTGCCACTTTTCGCTCGGCGCCCTGCGCGCGTCTCTCTGCAGCGAATTCGCGGAACGCCCGAGAGCATCGGCGCGCAATAACAAGATGATTTTCATCCCCCGCGTCAATAATAACAATCTGCAGCTCTTTCCGTTGTTAATCCGGCGGCGGCTCGGTTCGTGGAATCCACGCCTAATCCGCCGGGCAAATATTGCACGCTTTGAATTGATTTCGCTTTTCGCCCGCCCACATAAACGGCGTGCGTGCGTTTTATATTTTCTGCTCGCCCCGCCGTTAATCTCGCACCCCGGTTCTTTTTACTCGCGGCTGCGTGCGCGGCAATAAATTTTATCAGGGAGTTGTAAAAAGAGATCGGGCAAAGATTCCGACCACGTTATTTCAACTGGGACGAAAATTGCTTGCGAGACCATTAGGGGAGTTGATTCTAGCATGATTAGGAAATGGGACAAAGTGTCTTGCCGCAAATATTGAAATAAAAAAAAAGAAATAAAAACATTATGATGAAATTCATATTTGTTGTATTGGGACGTAAGAAAAAATACAGGTGAATAAATTGCATAAATTTCCGCAAAATATTATTAATATAGTGAATATTTTTTTTTTTAATAAATCCTTTTCATTAAGCTTCTCAGAGTTGTTCCTTGAGCTTTATTGCACTCTTTTTCGCCATTGAAAAAAAGTTTTAATTTTGACAATAATTCAATAAAAATGTGATAATAATTAAATAATTTTTAATTTCACTTATAGGATCTTACGTTGGCTTTTAAACTTCTTACAATTGTTTTTAGGATCAGGCCAATACATACTCTTGTAAAATAAAATAAATCATATTCTATTTTACTTGTTATTTTTTGGGATTCTACTTTATTTAAATTCATCATTTATGCTGG